GGCGCAGGCGAAGCGAGGGAGGGAGCCAAGGAAACTCAAACATGGACTGAGGCAGCGTGGATAAGCGGCGGGTCCGCTGTCCGTGCGGAATCGGCGCGTTCCGTCGCTGAACGTGGCGACATTGACGCCATATTTCGGGTGTTTTTTTCCTAGATGAGGAGTAGGGAGGAGGAGGAGGAGGAGGAGGAGGAGGAGGAGGAGGAGGAGGAGGACGAGGACGAGGACGAGGACGAGGACGAGGACGAGGACGAGGACGAGGACGAGGACGAGGATGGAACTCGGAACTCGGAACTCGGAACTCTGTGACGGCTCATCGTCAGCCGAATGTGAAATATTGTGCAGGACCCCTTCACTCTCTGTAAGAGCCCCCTCTTGGGAATAGCCTGCCGCAGCGCCCGTCGGAAGCGGGCCGCCGCACGCCTGGCCTCGATCTCCGCTCGGAGCTCGGGGGTGGTACGCGGCGGGGGAGGAGGAGGGGGAGGCGGAGCAGGTTCGAAGGAGGAGGGGCCAAATTCGAGCCCCATGGAGGCAGCTGCAGCCTCCATCTCCTGTAGGAGAACCTCCTCGGACAGCTCCTCACACGGCTCGGGGCACTCAGGTGGAGAGGCCTCGGGGGGTGGGCGGTGGGGCCTGTCAAAACGACAGTCGCGAGAGATTTCCTCCCCATTAAATCTGCAACCCATAAAATCCCGTGCAATATGCAAAGGTTCAGGTGTTGCAGCATAAGGATCTAGAGCCTGAAAAAAACACTTCGAGTCCGGCAGGCAACTCACTATCGTCAAGTAACCCGTCGTCGCAATCCTGGAGGGCGTGGGTGATGTGGTCCTGTACCGCCTCAGCCATAGCCCGACACATTTCCCAAGGATAACGTTTCTTGGGGTTGTGGTCCTCCTGGCACCTGTTTCAGGATCCAGCCCTTTAAGGGATTGGTGGTATCGTCGAGGATGATCACATCTGCCATTCCGTCCACGAGCCTTGACCTTATCGGCCAGCGTGGGAAGTCGGACACAGAGCAACGATGTGGGTGCTACACTTATCTGTCCGAACACGCACTGGTCGAACGATATCAGCTGAGTGACCGGGGAGGCAGAGAGGGCACATGAGGTCTTAGTTCTCCAGCTCGAGGGCGCTCGGGGCTCCCAGTGGGGTTCCTCGGGGTGCTCCAGGATCCCACAAGCACCCACAGCCATACATACATGGAGGAGCCGATGGGCAGCGAGGAGGAGGAGGTTACCGACACATAACTGGTCGTCCTGCCGCTCCGTCACATCAGGTCGTCCCCAGATATGTCGTTGAGTCCTGAGTGGTGGCGGCGTGCGCTGGGAGCTTTCAGTAAGGGGCTGCCATCGCACTGCCGACCAAGTTTCGCAGGGCGGTTCACCTATGAGGCCTAAGGCCCGTCCACACGCCAGTCATTCTTCCCAGCGCTGTATGATATTCTCCCATGATATAACCACAATTGTGAGAGGCCCAGTCTGCAACACAGTTTCAAGCGCCTCCTGGACATCCCCTGTTCTTCTAGCGCCCGAGAATAAGTGTAGGAAGGCCAGGATAGTATACCGTGGGGCCTTCGGCACATGCTCTGCACATTGCCCATCATACAACAGCGTTTGGAATGTATGCTCATTCTCGGGAAGGGCCTCGGCCTGCTGAGGGGTTCGTCTCTCCTGTATGAGAGCACCATCCGGGTATGTATATCCCGACGCCGCCAAGAGACGCCACGCATCACTGTATGGTAGCGCGTAGCGTTGTGGAGAGTGGAGGGGGCCAGGGACCCGGTGCGCAGGCACGCGTGCACCCCGTCGTATGGCACTCTCCTTGCGAGCCTCCTTCCTCTCCTTGACCTCAAACATGGACTGAGGCAGCGTGGATCAGCGGCGGGTCCACTGTCCGTGCGGAATCGGCGCGTTCCGTCGCCGAACGCGGCGACATTGACGCCATATTTCGGGTGTTTTTTCTTAGATGAGGAGTAGGGACGAGGAGGAGGAGGAGGAGGAGGAGGAGGAGGAGGAGGAGGAGGAGGAGGAGGAGGAGGACGAGGACGAGGATGAGGACGAGGACGAGGATGGAGGGGAAGGAGGAGGAGGAGGAGGAGGAGGGAGGAGGAGGAGGAGGAGGAGGGAGGAGGAGGAGAAGGGCGGAGGAGGAGGGGGAGGAGGAGGAGGAGGAGCAGGGAGGAGGAGGGGAGGTGGAGGAGGAGGAGGAGGAGGAGGAGGAGGAGGAGGAGGAGGAGGAAGAGTCGTTTTTGATCGTCCTGGGGCCCAGTGAGGGTCCCCCAGAGGCCGAGAAATCGAGGAACAACTCCCGCCGGGATTATTGTATACGACGCGAGGAGGTTTGGCGCCCCCTCGACAGACCCATGGATCCCCAATCCGTGCCAGCGTGTGCCCGAGGGAGAGGAGGGCGGGCGCCCCGACGCTCGGCAGCACGCGGGGAGGTGCGAGGAGCGCAAAGGCGTGGGCGTGAGGGGCCAGGATGAGCAGTCACAAGCTCGGCACGCCGAGCACCCCTGCGGACAGACCACGGGGGGCGCCTGGAGGGTTTCTCCGAAGGGCTTAGGCGACTCGTCCTCCTCCCGCCTCCCCCTCCTCCCTCCTCCTCCTTCCTCCTCCCTCCTCCCTCCCGCCCTCCCTCCCTCTCTACCTCCCTCGCTCCCCCCCTCCCTCTCCTCCTCCCCCTCCTCCTTCTCCTCCTCCTCCTCTTCCTCCTCCATCTCCTCCTCCCCCTCCCCCTTCTCCACCTCCTCCTCCTCGGGTCGCCTACGGCCCCTGGGAAACCGTGCAGGGGCGCCAGTGCTCAGCAACACCGGGAGACGCCAGGAGCGCAAAGGTGGTCCCGAACTGCCAGGGAAAGCAGTCACAAGCTCGGCGCGCCAGGCACCTCTGTGGACAGACCACGGGGGGCGCCCGGATCTAGCGGCCGTCGGTTAAAAGCCCCTAACCCTGATAGCAAGATGAAGACGTGGCTTCACTTAGGTCCCCGTCTTCGCATTACATCTGGGGTGTCTGGTTTGATACATCTGCAGCACAGACCCCCTATCCCCAATGTTTTTGGCCCTCCTAACTTAGGTCCCCTCCCAAACGGTCAAGGGTACTTTTGTCGAAGACGCCTACGGCGAATCACCGTCGCCCCCTGCTTTTTTGGAAGCGACTATGTGGCCGAACGTTGAGGCCAGACCTGCCAAGCTATCTGACCATTTGTTCCCCGAATCGGAACACGTGGGCATCTTGAAGGTCATCTTGGCCGTCGGGAGGCCATTTTGACCCTTTCGGGCCTTCTTGGAGGACGCCTTGGAGGGCTCTTGGGCAGTCTTGGAGGCCATCTTGAGCGTCTTGGAGGCCTCTCGGGCCGTCTTGGGGGCCTCTTGGGGCCGTCTTGGGCCCCTTGGGCGATCTTTGGGGGTACTTGGGCCGTCTTGGGCCGTCGGAAGGCCGTCTTGGTGGGCTCCTGGCCCGTCTGACGCCGTCGGAAGCCGTTTGGGGGGCCTCTCTGGGGCGACTGGGGACCCTCTTGGAATGCTCCAGGGCCGTCTTGGAGGCCATCTTGGGCGTCTTGAAGGCCTGGGCCGTCTTGGGGGCCTCATGGGGCCGTCTTGGGGGCTCTTGGCCCGTTCTGGGGCCATCTTGGAGGCCTCTTGGGCGATCTTTGGGCGATCTTTGGTGGCTCTTGGGCCGTCTCGGGCCGTCGGAAGGTCGAAAAGAAGCAAATGTCAAAATCCTTGAACAAACTCAGGCAAATCATGCTTTTTGTTGTTGTTTACCTTTTCTGGCCTTCCTGGAGGCCCTCTTGGAGGCCTCTTGGGCCGTCTTGGGCTAGCTTCGAGCCAACTTCGGCCATCTTGGTGGGTTCCTGGCCCGTCTGACGCCGTCGGGAGGCTTGGGGCCCTCTTGGGGCGCTTCAGGGCCGTCTTGGAGGCCATCTTGGGCGTCTTAGAGGCCTGTTGGCCCGTCTTGGGGCCCTCTTGGGGCCGTCTTGGGGGCCTCTGGGGCTGTCATGGGGCCATCTTGGAGGCCTCGTGGGTGCTTTGGGGGCGATCTTGCGGGAAGGCTTAAAAGAAGGCATATGTCAAAATCATAGAAAACAATGGTAAATCAATGATTTTGGCCTCTTCGGGCTCTCCTGGGGGACCTCTTGGCACCCTCTTGGACCATCTTGAGGCCATCTTGGAGCCATCGTGGCCCGTTTTGAGGCTTCTTGGACGATTTAGAAGGCATCTTGGACCCTCTTGGGCCGTCTTGGAGGCCATCTTGGACCATCTTGGGCGAACTTGGAGGCCATCCTGGGCCATCTTGGCTGTCTTGGAGGCCATCTTGGGCCAACTTGGGGCAACAACGGCATCGACGGATGCGTTTTGAGATCCTTCCCAGACCCCGGCGGGACGCGCCGGAGCCCCAGGGGGAGTTCTTTCGGAAAAGAACCAAAACCAAAAACGAAATCATCTAGCACGCCAGGCACCCCTGCGATGAATCGACAGGGGGCGGCGGATTGCTTATCATGCGGCCCATCCCGCCACCGTGCCTGGGTCATGGGCCGGGGGCCTGCAGGCAGACTGGTGGGCCATGTTGGAGGAAGGGCCCCCAGAGGCCCTTCGGGTTCTTGCTCCCGGGCCCCTCCCGTGGCCGTTTTTCTTGGGCCCTCCTCTCGGGTGTGCTTGAGCCGCCTTGGGGCGATCATTGCGGCTCCTTGGACAGTCTTGGACGCCATCAAAACAGAAACGACGAACGTGCAAAATTACAAGCAGGAGCGGGCCAATGCGACCCCCGAGATCCCAAGAGGGCTTAAGGACAGGCCCCAGGTACCATCTCAGGGCATGTCGGACATGCCTGTCCCTGACCACGCTACCGGGGCCTCGTGAGAAGCAGTGCGAGAAGTCCCAGCACGTCACGCGACAGGCCCTGGGAGATCCCGCAGTTGGGGCTCCAGCCCCAGCTGCGGAGGAGGAGGAGGAGGAGGAGGAGGAGGAGGAGGAGAAGCAGTGTTCACGACCTTGTCTCCGGAAAGCTCAGAAGGACCCGAGGACACTCCACTCGGTGCTTGCGGCGCGGTGGCGGATTTGGGTCTCCCTCTACCTGCCATACGTGGCCCTGTACGTCGACGTCATTATGATTCCGGGCTTGCAGCCGTCCACCATCATGGACGTTGCTCTAGGCTCGGTGCCATCGAAATGGGTATGGGAAGAATGTGGCAGCTTACCGCAAGCTGGTCCCGCACATCTTGAACAGAGCTCGCTGTCGGTGTCGCAGCGGACGTTGTGAGACAACAGGCCGCCCGCCCAACAGCGGCCGCTGTCGGTTTCTGGACAACATTATGCGTCGGACATCGTTTTTGTTGTTCGAAACCCACCTCGGGCGTGCCGATAGGCTTGGTAATCGCGTTCGGAAACTTCTTGCTGTCCTGCGTGATCGAGCTGGTGACCTCCTGGGCGGGCTTCGTCTACAAGCCCAACAGGGACCAGGTCGTGCTGAGCCTGGCCTTCCTCGGCACGTTCCTGAACACGGCGGCCGACCTGTGCATGATTGCGATCATCGCTCAGGGCACGGTCTTCCAGGAGTGGAGGACAATGAAACTGCACGCACTTGTGTGTGTGTGTTTTTCTGAGGTCCGCGCGGATTTCTTGGATCGGCGATGGAACTCCGACAGTTATTGTTAATGTCTTCTTTTCTTCGGCAGGACGCGTTCAGTGGGAGGAACACCGGCTACGATACAGCGATCTCTCGGAAGTTGTTCTCCCTGATAGTGCCGGGTTACTTGTTTACACCGTACTTTTTCATTCCGTTTTTCGAGCATTTTTTACCACGATGGCTTGCTAAGCAGCTTGTGCGCACACACCGTCGCATTCCACTGCACCGTGCCATCCAAGCCGTGCAGTTCCGGGATTGGGATATCGTTTGGCGCTATGCCGACATACTCAACAATACGACCATTTGTATAGTGTTGCTTTTCTTCACGAGTCCTTATGGCTGGCGGGTCATGATATGGTTGTGCGTCTTCTTTATGTTCATTTATGCTATCGACAAAGAGCTGCTGCTGAAGCATACCATGCCTACCATATACGATACGCACTCTCTGAGCCACTCGTTTGTTCATTGGTGGAACGTGCCGACGGGGCTGTTGGCTGCGCTTGTGGCATTCTGGGGCTACAAGGCCCAAGCTGGCATATTCATTAACCCCTATGTCGGACTCGCTTTCGTGTCGGCGCACGCAGTGATATACTCGTGCGTCGTCGAGGCGTGTTTCTGGAGACTTGGGCACATGCGGAGTCAGACGGAAGACATGCGGTATTCAGAAGCCACCAAGAGGCTGCGGAGGAATGAGGGATGGATGGGAGGCGGAACAGGGAGGGACGGAGCAGGGAGGAAATCAAGGCAGGAATGAGGAGGAGGAGGAGGAGGAGCAAGAGGAGGAAGGACAGGAGGAGGAGGAGGAGGAGGAGGAAGGGCAGTACTTCGGATGATGGGGGTACGGGAATGGAAGAATAGCTGGAGGAGGATAATGAATGCCGCGGAGAGGCTGCGGCAGAGCCGCCGCCACTGGGACTTCTTCAACTGCAACCCCGTGTTCTGTCTGCGCACGCGACTCCTGTCTGAGAAGGACCACCAGGGTCGCCCACGGTGCGATTCGATGCGACTCGGCTCACGGATTGGGCTGGCGATTTCGATTCGATTCTGTTTGGCCTTCGATTCACCAGCTTCGGCTGGGGCCAGCCGGAGCTGGGCGCGGCGACTCGGTTCCGATTCGATTCGGGGCGCTTCGTTGGCGATCCGATCCGTTCCCGATCCGATCCGATTTCGCGGGTCGATCTACTCAGGCCTGCCCGCGCCCTTCTGCGAGCAATGACGACAGCATACACGAGGAGAAACGAAGAGGAGGATGACAGAGAACGACGGACCAAGAGGAGGATGAGGGGGAAGAGGCGAAGGAGGATAATGGGGAGGAGGTAGACGGAGGAGGGGATCGGAGGTAGACGGAGGAGGAGATAGACGGAGGTAGACGGATGAGGAGAAGGATGAGGATGAGGAGGAGGAGGAGGAGGAGGAGGAGGAGGAAGAGGAGGAGCAGGAGGAGGAGGAGCAGGAGCAGGAGGAAGAGGAGGAGGAGGTAGGTAGAGGAGGGGAGGGGCAACATAGTATAGTATGAAACTATCTCTCGGGTCGACGCTAGTTCCCCTGGCGGCGCTCTTGCGCGCTTCGCGCGCAAGGGGAAAGGGGGGGGTCCAGGTGCGAGCGAACCAGAGCTTGAGTGTGACTGAGTGAGGGTGAGTCCAGTTGTTAGCTATGATTTCTGTTGCTGCCTGCCGCCACCTGCTGATCTGTGCGCTTACTTCCGCGCAGCGCTGCTCTGCGCTGCTCCCTGACGACCTTGTTGCTCTTTGCACTGATATCTGCAACTCTGATCATTTTTGGAGTCCTGAAACTACTCCCCTCCCCCCACATCCTCCACCACCCAGTCGGCACCGCCTTGGGATTCCCAACCGCAATGCCTGCTACATCGCGGTGATCTCAGGGCTCTGAGAAGAGCCTACTGGGCCAGCACGGGGGGTTCGCAAGAGGGGGGGCCGCAATGTGGGTGCGAATGGGCCCGCGAAACACCCTTCGTCGACGCCCCTCTGAGATGCTCAATCCGCAATGCTTGCTACATCGCGGTATTCGCGGGGCTCTGAGAAGAGATTCGTCTATTACAGTCAACCCGCATAGTAAGGATGCACGGCTTTCCAAGGTCACCCTTGCGTCCTTGCCCCTTCGGCCCTTCCTTGGCCGCTGTCGCTGGCCCCGACCCGCCCGCAAAGTGTCGACATGGCTTTCCAAGGCCCTTGCATCCTTACCGTGCGTTCTGACTAAACGGGTTGAATGTAAGCCAAAACGGGCATTTCGACCGATCTGTCCCCCCACACTCTGCGTGCGAACGGCCCATGAAACAATTTGCTGTCGACCCTCCCTTGGGAGGCCCATGTGCAATGCCTGTTACCTCGCGGTGGACATGGGGCTCTGAAACCGAGATTCGTCGATGGGGCAAACACGGGCACAGTAAGGATGAGCGATTTTTCAAGACTACCCCTGCATCCTTGTCCCTTCCGCCCATCATTGGTACCTTTCACGGGCCAACCTCGTTCGACAAACGCTAACATGGCCCTCCAAGGCCCTTGCATCCTGACCGCGCATCCTTATTTTGCGGGTTGACTGTGGTGAACATGGGGCTCTGAAGCAGATATTCGTCGACGGGGCAAACACGAGCATTTCGTGTGGGAAGTCCGGGGGGAATGAGCGCGCCCAGACCCTTGACACTCCCATGGTCGAGATCTCCTGTGGTAAGGCCCATGTGCCATGGCTGCTACATCGCTTTGGTCAGCGGGGCTCTGAGGGGAGACTCGTCTACTCGTCGAAAGTGAGCGCTTCGCCTGAGAGGCCCTCGCAAGAGTAGCGCCACGGGGCCTGTGAAGTTCAATACTTGTCGACACCAATTTGGAAGGCCCAAATGCCATGTCCGAGAGAGACTCGTCTACTGAGCCAAAACGAGTGTTTCGTTTAAGGGTCCCCACAATATAGTGCGACTGGGCCCGCAAAACACACTAGGTCGACACCATTCTGGGAGGCCTCATTGCAATGCCTGCTACATCTCGGTGATCACTTGGCTCTGAGAGGATACCCGTCTAGGTCAAAACGGCTATTTCGCCCGCGAGTTCCCCGACATCTGGGCGCGAACGGGCCCATGAACCATTTCTGTAGACAGTTCTTTTGGGGGGCTAAAGTTCTGTGTCTGCCACACACATCGCAGTATTCATGGGGCTCAGAGTGGTCAGAATGTGAACGAGCCTGAGTACACGAGATCTTTGCTACGAGTGCGTCTGAGTGCGATCGACTGATTCTTAGCGCGAGCGATTCTGATTGTGTTTGAGTATGCGTACTATTGAGGATGAATATTCATCGACCTGGCTGTGATGATTATGAGTATCAGTGATCTGATCATGATTGAAGTTGAGTACGGGTTAATCTGAAAGCGTATGGATTTGACTGAGTGGGAATGGGTGCGTCTGAGCATAAGTGAGCGTGAGCATGATCAGATTCGAGTGTGACTGGGTTGAGTATGAGTGAATCTGAGTGTAAGCCTGACGGTTGAGTAAGTCTGCGCATGCAAGGGATAAAGGAGGAGCAGGGGGAGGAGGAGGAGGAGGAGGAGGCGGAGGAGGAGGAGGAGGAGGAGGAGGAGGAGGAGGGGGAGGGGGAGGGGGAGGGAGGAGGGAGGTGAGGCATTGGGGAAAGGATGCGGCGGCGTCACACCCATTACAAGAGCCCCTTCCTAGAGCATGGGGAACGGGCAACTGCATATCATTGATTTTTGGGTTGGCGCCGGGCCCCGACGGGGTGTGAATTGTTGGGGGGGAGGGGGGTCAGCGCTGACCCTAAAACCAGCGCGGATTTCCAGATGTATGTTCATGCCGGTTATCGTTTATGTATGGAGGGGCCGTGAGAGAGAGAGAGAGAGAGAGAGGGAGCTAGAGAGGGAAAGAAGGAGGATCGCCCAAGCGACGGCCCTCAGCGGAGCGAAGCTCCGAGGTTGGGCCTCTCTGGAGGCTCTTGAAAGTTTCCAGGGAGTTTCAGATCTTTGTGGGGGAGCAGGGGCCGGTGGAGGAGTGGGGGAGAAGGGGGAGGCGGAGGCAGACGACGACGACGTGGGCATGGGGAAGTTGGAGTACGCAGGTAGAGGCACTCCAGGGGGAGGCGGAGGCCGAGAAGACGAAGGAGGAGCAAGAATTGGAGGCGAACGCGGGGGAAGAGGAGGAGGGAAGGGATGAGGAGGAGGATGAGGAGGCGAAGCAGGAGAAGGTGGAGGAGGAGGGGGATGAAGGGGAAGAGAAGCCGGGAGGAGTGAGGAAGGGGAATAGAAGCTAGATGGTGGTGGTGGTGGTGATGACGCCGCTGATGATGATGATGATGATGATGATGATGATGATGATGATGATGATGATGATGATGATGATGATGATGATGATTATCATCATCATGATGGTGATGATGATGATACTGATGATGATGCTGCTGATACTGATGATGGTGAGGATGCTTACGATGATGCTGATGACGCTGATGATGCTGATGATGTTGATGATGCAGCTGATGATGACGCTGGTGCTGATAAGGATGCTGTTTATCACTACGTTGATGGTTGAAGTTGTTTTCCGGTGATGCTGATGATGCTGATGATGCCTTTAATGATTCTGACGTTGATGATGATGATGCGGATGCTGTGGATGACAATGAGAATGAGGATGAGGACGCCGATGATGATGATGATGATGATGATGATGATGATAATGATGATGATGATGATGATGATGATGCCGACGATGATGATGCTGATGCTGTTGCTGATGATGGCGACGATGGTGATGATGATGGTGATGATGCTGATGATGATGATGCGGATGATGATGCTGATGATGATGCTGATGATGATGGGGATGCTGCCTATCATCACGTTGATGATTGAAGTCGTTGCCGATGATGCTGATGATGCTGCTGATGCTGATAATGATGCTGACGCTGATGATGATGATGATGATGATGATGATGATGATGATGATGATGATGCGGATGCTGTGGATGACGATGATACTGAGGATGAGGACGCCGATGATGTGATGATGCTGGTGATGATGATGATGATGCTGATGATGCCGATGATGATGATGATGATGATGCTGATGCTGATGCTGATGCTGTTGCTGATGTCGGCGACGATGGTGATGATGCTGATGATGATGTTGATGGTGATGATGATGCTCATGAGGATGTTGATCATGATACACCGCTGATGTTCCTGATGCTGCTGATGACGATGATGATGATGCTGATGCTGATGCTGATGCTGATCTTCATGATGGCGATGATGATGATGATGATGTTGATGGTGCTGACGAATGGTGAACGATGAATAATGGTTGTGATGCTGCTGCTGATGATACTGATGATGCCGATACTGATGATGCCGGTGATAATGCTATTGTTCATGAGGATGGTGTTGAGAGTGATGATGATGTTGCTGATGATGATGATTACGATGATTTCGATGATGATGTTGCTACTGCGGATTGTGATGCTGATGAGGAGGACGACGACGCCGCTGATTATGATGATGCTGATGCTGTTGATGATGCTGATGATGATGGTTACGACGATGATGATGATGCTGATGATGATGCTGATGATGATGGTGGATGTGGTGGTGAGATAGATCATAATGATGATGGTAATGTTGATGTTGATGGTGATAACGACGAGGATTCCATTATTCTGATGATGTTGCTCAATCTTCTAACGGTAGGGAGAATTCTCATGATCGTCATCGCAATCATGATTCATACTCCTCACTATCGCCACCCTCACAGAGGTTGGGGGGTGATGATGGTGTTTAGGATGGTGATGCGGACGACGACGCCGGCGACGAGGTTGATCATGATGATGGTGCTGCTGCTGCTGATGGCGGTGATGATGACGACGAATATGCCGATGCTGGCGGTTATGGTGATGAGGGTGATGGTGATAGTGATGGTGATGGTGATGGTGATGACGACGATGATGATTATGATGATGATG